GGAGGAGGAGGAGGAGGAGGAGGAGGAGGAGGAGGAGGAGGGTGGCTCAAGCGCCATTGCCTTCTCGGTCAGGTCCGAGGAGCTAGGGCCCAAACCTTTCCTTTTTGAGCGCCAAGTCCACCAGACGCTCGCCCCACAGATGGGGTGGACTTGGAATCAGACCCAATCACGCCCCAAGATCTGCCGCCCATATGTGGTTTGCACGTCCTGCGGCGCCTGGCAGTACACTTCCAAGGCCAAGAAGAAAGTCTGGTGCAAGTGCGGAGAACCCTTCCACATTCCCGACGCTGGCGACAAAAACACCCACGCCAGTCAGGTGAGCGAGAAGGGCGCGCCGCAGCAGGACCAGGATATGAAGTCCATCCTCACAGCGATCCTTGGGGTGCTCAGTGACGCCCAGAAGCAAGAGCTCGGGCCCGCAGCCCAGTCAGCAGCAGCGCTCGTCACGGAGAAGAAGCCCGCCCCCGCCGTGGCCGCGGTGGCAGCGCTCCAGCGAGTGCGGCAGCACGAGAAGAAAGTCACAGAGCTTGGTATCCACGTGCAGGAGTTAGAGACCCAGCTCCAGGCCGCCAAGGACGACCGTGCCAAGGTAACCATGGAGTTACAGGAGGCGCGGCAGCAGTTCGAGGCGGCCAGCCAGCAGGCCACAGCCCAGTGGGGCACCGCCACCGCGGCCGAGGACGCCATGGAGGAGGACCAGGAGGCGACGCCCAAGAAGGCCCCCGCGGCCGAGCAGCCCAAGGCCAGCGTCCCCGAGCTGCCGCCAGGGCTGCGTGCCGCCGTCAGCGGCCTGCAGGGGGAGGACGCCGAGCAGGCCCAGGCTTTCGTGCAGCAGCTCGAGGCGGCGACCAAGGCGGGGAAGGCTCCACCGCCGAAGCGGCCACCGCCCAAGCGCCAGGGCGCCGCTGGCGGGACAGCAGCCAACGCAGCAGGAGGAGCGGATGACGAGAGCAGGCGTGGTCGCAAGACCGACAAGTCGCCCGTTCCCCACCGCAGCCGCAGTGAGCCCAGGGGCCGTGGGGGGGGCTGCAGGCGGGAGCCAGAGGGACTGACCGTCGCCCCGAGCCACCAGCAGGGCGCACGGACGCGCCCAGCAGCCCCCCCGCAGATGGGACACAGCATATTTTCACCAACGACCAGTCGATAGGGAGTTTCACTAGTCTCGTCATCAGCCAGTCGGATGACATCTTTAGCCTCAGCGACAGCAGTGAGAGTGACCTTGTCAATTTTGACCCGTCCGTTGTCAGTGTCAGTGCCATGGGAGATGCAGGACACCAGGATGACCAGGATGGGAGGGGAGAACAAGGAGGGGAGCCTCTCATGCTGTATCTTGCCAACATCACTAGCTGGCACAAGAAGGCCAGGGACTACGTTCAGTCCAGCGATTTTGCGCGGCCGCATGTCATTATGTTTAGTGAGATGCACGTTCAACGAGACAAAGTGCGTGACGTGCATACATTCATGAAGAAGCAGGGGTACAGGTCCTACGTCTGCCCAGCTGTCAGGATCTCAGCGACGGGTTCACATGGAGGGGTAGGCCTTTTCGTCTTGCGCAGCCTCTGCTCCCACGCCCGCATCATGGGGGCAAAAGGACGTGACCAGCCCCTCTACGGGGGACAAAGGTGGACAGCCTGGCACCTCCGTCTCCGAGGGCATAGCCTGATTTTGGTTTCAACATATCTTCAAAGTGATGCAGGCTATAACGAGTACAATACGCAAGTGACCAGCCAGATCGCCACCTTCCTCAGAGCCCACAAGTTGCCCTTTATCATCGGGGGGGACTGGAACATGACAGGGAAGGAGCTCACGGAGGGGGGCCTCTGGGTGAAGACCATAGGTGGGGTCCTCATCGAGCCGAAGGTAGACTCCACCTGCAACGGGCGGGCGATTGACTTTTACGTGGTGCCTGAGAAGCTAGGTAGGCTCCTGCAGGTCACCCCAGATCGCACAAGTCCATGGAGGCCACATCTTGGGTTGCGAGGAGAACTGCAAGTAGAAGTTCTCAGCAAGCACAGCACGTGCCCCGAGGAGGCCCCAGATGTCAACGCCCCAGGTGCGGCCCCGCGGCCGTGGGACGAGCTCCAGGTCTTGGCACTCCAGAAGTTCCCCAAGGCTCCAGAGGTCCTTCATCCTGTCGCACCAGAGCATGTCGACGAGACCCTCACTCATAGGTTTGCCGTCCTCTCGCAGGCCCTGGAGTGGTGGTGCTCAGTTCCTGAACTCGGAGGGCCAACGCGGGCCCAGCCCTTTCGCCTGGAGAAGCGGGCGGCCTTCAAGCCCAACCCTCCAGAACCAAGGGGGGGGGGGGCCAGAAAGTAGAAGGTGGAGTACCATCCAGCAGAGAGTTCGGGAACGGGATCTTGCCAGGAAGCGTGGCCCCACAGGCCCCAGCCATCGCAGGCTTCAGAGGCTTATCGAGGCTACCGTCGTCAACCTAAAGTGGGGCTCTAACCTCGCGGATGACCAGCAGTGGGCGCTCTGGCACAGCCTGAAGGAGAGGTCCAGCGAGCCGTTCCCTTTGCACGACCTGCTAGATCAGCAAGTGCAGTTTTACGGGACCCGCGCGCTGAAGCAGGCCCAGGACGGTTTTGCGGACTGGTTGGGGACCAGCATCAAGCGAGGGGGTGGAGCCGCCCACGCCTTCACCAGAGAGATGGAAGTAGAGGTCAACCCCGAAGGGGCAGACAACCTGGTCCTGGAAGAAGAGGTCCTCATGGACCCCAGCGACATCCTTGAGGCAAAAAGCGATTTCTGGCAGCAGTACTGGAACCCGCAGAAGATCCAGACCAAGAACCCCATCTCGGCCCCGTGGATCCAGGAGGTACGGGAGGAGGCGATGGAGGACAAGGCTCTGGAGGCCCCCTGGACGGAGGAGGAGGTTCTGAAGGCCATCAGATCGTTCCCAGGACACTCAGCCACAGGCATGGACCAGTGGCGTGTACGAGACTTCGCTCGACTCCCAGGCCCAGGGCGCGTCGAGCTCACGAGCATGCTAAACACCATCGAAGAGAAGCAGTCGATGCCCGCCCAGTGCTTAGGGAACCTCGTAGCACTCAAGCCGAAGACCGTGACGGCGGATAGGCCGATCACGCTCACTACCTCGCTCTACAGGCTGCTCATGAGGATGAGGAGGGGGGAGATCGGCAAGTGGGAGGCGGCCAAGGCAGGACACTGGGACGCAGCAATCAAAGGATCCAGCTGTCTGCGCGCAGACATCGTTTCAGAACTTTTTGCGGAGGTGGGGGCGGAACTTCAGATCAAGGTTGTCGAAGGGCTCTTGGATTTAGAGAAACTCTATGACACCATCCTCACCCACGTGCTAGCGGCGAAAGCCAAATAAATGGGGTACCCAAGTATCTGTCTAAGTTTGGGGATCATGACCCACCTAGCCGTTCGGTATCTCACTACGGAGATGGGGGTCAGCCAGCCGATCATTCCCCAGCGCAGTATTCTAGCAGGATGCGGCCAAAGCGTGGCTTGGACGCGAGTTCTTTTGCACGACCTCCTCCATCAGGCGCATCTCAGGTTCAGCCGTCTCACCCTCAGGACCTGGGTGGACGACCTGCGGGCCCGCATGGTCGGCTCGACCACATCCCTGCTCCAGTCCTTCCCCGAGGCTATGAAGTTTATCAAAGCAGGGCTCGTAGATCTTGGGTGCAGGTTATCTCCGAAGTCGGCGCTCCTGTCGAATGACAATGGCATCAGGAACCAGGTTCAGGACTCCTGCAAGCTCCACGGGATCCCCCTGCAGACCAAGCTGGGCACCAGGGACCTCGGGTTGGACTCCACGGTAGGCAAGCGCAGGTACCTAAAGGTTCGCAGGGCTCGGCAGCGTCTTGGGTTCAAGAGGCACAAGAACATTAAGGGGCTCCTGAGGGTGACCAAGAGTGCTCATCGTCTATACCGTGCAGGGGCTCAGCCACAGCTCCATTGGGGACTCGAGGGCCACGGGGTCTCCCCGACAGAGCTCAGCCAGCACAGGAGAGCAGCAGGGGCGGCCCTGGGGACCAGCAAACCAGGAAGCTGTCTCACCGCAGGGCTCCACCAGTCGAAGTTGCCGCCAGAGGCCCTGGACCCCGCCATCTTTCATCGCATCAATCTTTTCGAGATGTGGTTCGAGCTGGTGGAGAGCCAGCCGCACCTCAGGAATGGGATTGAGCTCGCCTGGCCCAAGGTGGTCACCAAGCTCCAGCGGCCCAGGCGGTGGAACAATGTTGTCAGCCATCTCAGCGCGGTGGCGACCTGGGGTGGCAGCCCAACTCAGCTTGGGCTTGGACAAGCCCATCCGGCCAGGTTTTACGAGTCCGACCTGGGAATCTCCAGGAGCAAGACTATTTCATGTGCAGATTCCAGCAGTTTCTCCACCATCGAGTCTGGAGTGGGGCCCAAGGGGGACACGCAGCAGGAGGGGTGCAGGATGGAGTCGATATCAAGAGCTCACGGTGGCAGATCGAGCGGATGTATCGCGACGGGCAGAAGAACCTCGCGAAGGCGCTCAAGGCAGTCGGCGCCTGTTCAGCCTGGAGCCCCAGGAGACGTTTCGAGGCAGGCCTAGCAGATGACTCGGTGTGCCCGTTGTGTGGAGACCATCACTGCGATGACTATCACAAGTTCTGGGGGTGTCCGCTCCTGTTCCAGGCCGACCACCCCCTCATTCAGGCAACAGATGACCTAGTGGACACCGCTCAAGGGGACGACCAGCCAGCATGTCTGTGGCTCCGAGGGCTCATTCCAGCAGGTCTCGCTCTGAAGGCTGTAGAGGACACCACACCTCAGCACCCCGTCCTAGTAGGGGCTGGCGCTTTCCTGGACCCTCCCGAGCCGAGGGGCGGTTGGCGCCTCGGTGCGGTGGACGGTTCGGGGGGTGCTTTCTCGTCTGATCCCCGCCTGAGGCGTGTAGGATGGGGTGCAGGGGTCTGGGATGAAGATTTAAACCTCCATGGCACTCTCCAAGGGAATGTCATAGGGCTCCAGACCATCAATAGGGCGGAGCTCAAAGGGGCCACCGAGCTCCTCAAGCATACCCAGGGGGACCTTATAGTGGTCACCGACTCGGCGTACCTCATCAGTGGGTACCACAGGGGCCCCCGTAGGCGAGCGCGTTCCAATCGTAGGCTTTGGGCCGAGCTTTGGAGGATCCTAGGAGCTCGCACGGGCCAGGTTCAGTTTCTGAAAGTGAAGAGTCATGCCGCGGACCCTGAGGTCCGCGCCCGTTTTCCAGCTTGGGCCCTGTATGTGAATGAACAGGCCGACGAATTCGCTGGACAGGCTGCCGCCTCTGCCGCCGTGCCCCAGGACCTGGTCGACAGAGTGCTGGCTTTAGACACACTCGCAGAACAGGTCCGAGGGCGATTGGCGGCCGTCCAGATGATGTGGTGGACCCACTACCCAGTGGAGGAAGCTCCCGCCGAGACTAAGAGGGCTCAGCGCAAGGAGCGGAGTGACAATGCCTTCCAGCACCTGCTAGAGGTGACAGCCCACTGGCCCCAGGTCCGTGGCGACCAAGTTTCATGCTCCAGGTGCGGCAGGCAGACCCACAGGAGGTGCTGCGCCCGCTGGCTCAGGCTCCCGTGCCCCGCCGCCAGGCCCGCGGCGGGAGCGAAGGAGCCCACCAGAGCCGCCCTCCCCGCCGCTGGAGGCCCGCCCCCCGTCCATCCTAGCCACCGACCCCACCTCGCCGTGTGCCGTGGGGTCCTCTGGTGTCGGAGGTGTGGGTGCTGGAAGGTTCGGGCCTCCAGGAAATTCAAGGAGCAGTGCACCCCACCCCGTAATAGTCAGGGTGGGGGGCACAAGGCCATTTTGAAGCTCACCAAGGAGCAGCTCCCCCCAGGCCTCAAGGAATGGCCCCGAGGGAGCTCGTGAGCCCCAATAGTCCCCCTAGCGTGTAGGGATCGAGACTGTCCGATGGGGCGAGCGCGCGGAGGAGGAGGAGGAGGAGGAGGAGGAGGAGGAGGAGGAGGAGGAGGAGGAGGAGGAGGAGGAGTAGGATGAGGAGCAGGAGGAGGAGGCGGAGGAGGCGGAGGAGGCGGAGGAGGCGGAGGAGGCGGAGGATGCGGAGGAGGAGGAGGAGGATGAGGAGGAGGAGGAGGAGGAGGAGGAGGAGGAGGTGCCTTTCTCCCCCTCCCCCCTCCTCCCTTTCTCCCCGCTCCCACCCCTTCGCGCGCGGCACAGCGCGCGGAGCGGGTGTCCCCTGCTGGCTCCCAAAAGGGCCCTAAGTTAGGTCCCCTCTACGGCCCTCTTCTTCACTCCCTATACAGGTCACCCCCCATTACCACCCGCTTGATCTTGGGTCGGGTGTTGCTAGAAGTGCCCCTGGGCTGAAGTGCCCCCAGGATCTTTATGGAGGCCCCCACGGCCTCCATAGCACCCCTCACGAGGCCAAGAAGGCCCCGGGCGCCTCAGAATTGAGCGAAAGGCTGGGTCCTCGCGTTGCAATTTTTCCACACCAGGCGTTCTCGCCCGGATTCGGGCCCTGGGGCCATCAAAGACCGATCCAGCGCGAGAATGCCGCAGAAATATGGGGGTCGGGGACCTGGTAGTATGTTTTCATCTTGTTCGCGACGTCGGATCTCAGCGCCGGTCCTCGGGCCTCCTCGATCCTCCTCCTCGATCCTCGGTCCTCGTCGATGTTTGATCCTCCTCGACGTCCTCCTCATCGTGCCTCATGCCTCGAGGGATGCGGGACCGCACCTCAACTGGGCCGCCTCGGCGAGGTCCAAGGCATGAGAGGAGGAGGAGGAGGAGGAGGAGGAGGAGGAGGAGGAGGAGGAGGAGGAGGAGGAGGAGGAGGAGGAGGAGGAGGAGGAGGAGGAGGAGGAGGAGGAGGAGGAGGAGGAGGGGAGGGAGGAGGAGGGAGGAGGAGGAGGAGGACGAGGAGGAGGAGGAGGAGGAGGAGGAGGAGGAGGAGGAGGAGGAGAGGAGGAGGAGGAGGAGGAGGAGAGGAGGAGGAGGAGGAGGAGGAGGAGGAGGAGGAGGAGGAGGAGGAGGAGGAGGAGGAGGAGGAGGAGTCGAGGTTCGAGGAGGGGGAGGAGGAGGAGGAGGAGGAGGGAGGAGGGGAAGGAGGGGGAGGAGCACTGCTCCTCGGCCGGGGCGACAGGTTCGGTTTACCTACCTGGCTGGAGGAGGCCATGAGCAGGGGATCACGCAGTCTATCAGTCCAGCCTGCAGAACGAGGAGGCGAAGGAGGAGGACGAGGAGCGGGGGGGACATCATGTGGCGTCTGCGGGCTTCCATTCAGCGGCGCGTCTCCTGGAAACGAATCCGCTGTCCGCGATCCACCTGCCCGAGCTGCAGAGGGCGCGTCGAGGGGGGAGGTGAGAAGGGGCATGCCTTCTCAGAAGGCGGTAGGGCCTCTCAGAAGCCCCATGGCCTCCCGAGAAGCCGCCCGTGGCCCCGGAGAAGGTCCAGAAAGCTCTTCAGAAGGCCGGGGGCCTCCTGAGCCTTCCGAGCCCGCCCCCTCTGCCCCCCCCCTGCCCCCGGCGCGCCGCCCACTGACGTCCG